TTGATTGGCCCTGCTGGTCTATTTCTCTTGGTTTCTGTTCCAATCAATTATCATCAAAGAATTCCTGTATATAATGTGGCCATATTGTTACTACTTCTGCTGAATCCATTGTTTGTTTGTTATTATTTGAAACTAATATGCTATGTTAGTGAATCATTTTATTTCCAGTTATGTCTTTCATTCTTTTGTGCATGTTGAAGATGTTATGTTTTTGTTGTAATTCTTCGTACGCAAGTAAGTACGTAAACTAAGAGGATACAAAATGGAAAATAAGAACATCAAAATCCTATGCTATGCAGACAATGCGATGAACGAGGATGACCTCCAGACCAATTGGATGTCTTTTTCTAATTCCAGAGTATACTTAAAGTTGTTGTGAAAATTATTGATATATTTATAATAGTCATCAAGTGAAGTATTATTTCGTTATTTCAAGTACTTATCAAGTGCAAAAAAATTTTCTTTTAATTTCTATTTATTAATGTTTCAAGATGGCTAAGAAAAATGTTCTAGAGGAGTTAAACTCAAAGCTAAATCAGAAATGAAAGACCAACTCTTAAAGAATTTAAAGTGGAGAGTAGAGGAAATAACAGATTGTAAACATTTTTTTGAAAGCGAGATACGTGGAGGTTCATGGAGGGCAGTAGATTTAACTAACACAGATAAATCGTGTGAAGATTGTTCTTACTTATCTAATCCAAGGGGTTTTGTAAGCGCCCGTAACGGAGCAATATCTTAAAGCTAAATCTTGTGAAAGGAATGAAAACAAATACTTTAAAAAACACATTGTCGCTTGAATTTGAATTTTAGCTCAGTCGTGTATTCAAAATTTCAACGAAAAATTCTGGAATTTAGAACACATTCTACCTCTTCAACCAACAATATCGATATAAGACATCACAACTAATTGTAAATTTAATTAATAAAGATTTAGTAAATTTAATTATAACATCGGAAATGATCTGCTCTGCTTTATTTGAATTCTTTTTTCTCTCCTTCTAATAAGCAACATTCCCCTAGAGGGTTGTTTCGGTTGGCAAGGATACCATGTCGACAAATTATCATAATCGGTAGCGACCACTTTCAACTTTTCCTCCCTCTTTCCAATCGATTTTATATTCCGTAGTATTTTTATATTTGTTATTTTTCAGCGACCTCAAACTGAACCTCACCTGAAAATAGATGCGAAATATTGGTGAATCAATTAATTGCGATTTTATTGCCCACAATCCTTCCTGAGAATAATAATTATCCTTCAAACTGCTAACGGGATTGAGGAAAAAAATCTCCTGCTTAGTTTTCTTTAAAATAAATAAGCAACATTTTTTACTTAAGCAACATGATGGAGTATGTTTTGATGCCGAGAACGGCTGCCTAGAACGTTTGGTCACTTTACTATGGCATGTTAACTTTTCGAAATTTCGAAGTATTATAACTTCATGTTTTTAAATAGCACCCCCCATATTTTATTACTTAGTCGTCTTCGGTGTCTCATTCTACATCTTTTATATCCGATATGTCCCATACCTAACATTAATAGTTTGGGAGATAATTAGGGTTTTTTGAAAAATGCCGATATATCATATGGATATTTAGCCTAGTGTGCCATGGAAAACAAACCTTCTCAATGAGTTCTTGTCAAAATCTCACTTGTTTACGTCACTTGATGCATGTGAGCTAATAATTATCTGTTAAGTCCCTTAATATTAGTACTAAAAAGAGTTAAAATGATAACAATAACGAAAATAATATTTACACAAATCAAGAAATTCTTAATTTATTTTTTATACATGAAAAGCGCGACAAAGTTCCTAGTATGATTCCCAGATCTTCTATGGCAGTTCGACTTGAGGCGTTGGGACTGGGCTTGAAAAAAGGCAAGGTATTCACCTCTTCCACTGCATTATCTACTTAATTTTTTGGTCAGTTTAACACGTGATTCGTGAATCGTTAGGTATAGGTATAGGACATATGGAGTATAAAAGATGTAAAATGAGACGACGAAGACGACTAAGTAATAAAATATAAGGGGTGCCATCTAAAAAAATTAAGTTATGGTACTTCCAAATTTCGAAAAGTTAACATGCCATAGTAAAGTGACCAAACGATCTAGACAGCCGTTCTCGGCACCAAAACATACTCCATCATGTTGCTTAAGCATTTTCTGAATCCTAAATTGATATCTCAAAAATCGAGTGTTCTGATTTTTTTGAACAAATGTTTGCTGGAGCAGAGAGAGACAATGGATGTATTTTCGACAATTAAAAGCAATATATAACATAAACAACAACATAATGTACATTCTATGTTAAGTCTAAAAAGGACTATCGACCAAAGTCCTTCCGCCCCATCTCAATAATTAAAATTTTATCCTGTCACAATCCTTTTGTAAATAGTGTTAAATTCTGATTGTATCAATAGGGATGATATTTCTTCAGCCATCTTGCTCTTAGATTTGTTTGCTAAAATTAGAAGTCACTCCGTCAAAGGCTTTATTTTGGTTTTTTATATAGCGTTTTATTTGCGATATTGTGCAATGGATTGTTCGGGTGTCTCATTTTCGTTATTGCTCGGAGACTTGTTCTTTCGCCAACTTCCAAACTCCTTTGTGTGCATCGCTTGCTATCATAGGTCAATAGGCTTGCATACTCTAAAATTGGTCTACAAATAGTCTTATAAATATGCGCAGCGCATTTGATGTTAATGCCTTCTTTCTTGTAGGTTAAACTTCTAAACAGTTTTGCTCTGGTGATTGCTTTCATTTTAGCCTTTTTTGTGTGTATGTGGAACTTCACTTTGCTGTCAAAGATTATACCCAGATATTTGATGTTCGCTGAAGGACTGATTTGCGTCTGTTTGATGTATACTGTTGGAGAATTATCTGTTATCCTATGGAAGGTTTAAAAATTGTGGTTTTGAAGCATTTATATTAATTCTCCAGGAAAAGCAAAATTTAGTTATTTTGTTAGTTGCTTCTTGTAATGTTACTATGGCTGTTTCAAGTTCCTTCCTATGCGCTATTAGTGCAGTGTCGTCGGCATATTGCAGCATATATAAATCGGTAGACAGCGCGGAAATTTCCATCATGTCATATGCAAAAGCATTGTATAGTATTGGTAAGAGCGGCGAACCCTGTGGTACACCTTGTTTAATTTGAAATTCATCCGAGAAGGTTTCATTTGTTCTTACTCCAAAAAAACGATCTTTTAAAAAATTTGACAGTAATTTGAGTAACTCAGGTGGAATGTTTAATTTGTAAATCAGACCATTATGCCACACTGAGTCAAACTCTTTTTGTATTTAAAAAATAAGAAATCTCAGAGACGATGAAAAAATATATTTAATTTTTATTTTCGGTGCTACACGTGTTTCGATCGAACTATGCGATCTTCATCTGGCACGACTAGAGACAAACTAAAAATAAGTTTCATTATAATATCAGTTAATTACAAAAAAAAACAAAATTAAAATCAAATTTACCGTCAAGAGTTGTTGATTGAAGAACAAATTATCAGGTTGAAATATTTGACAGTAAAATTTGTACGGTTAAAACTAAAAACGTTAAAACAAATGGCTTAATATTAGAAAGTAAAACAGGTTAATATTCTGGAAAAGACAACTTACTTAGCGTCAAACTAAATAAAACTATCACTAAAACTATATTTTAAAAAATACGCATTAGACGGAGTTAAAATTAAAAATTCTTTAGTTTAATCGTATGGAACTTCTTTTTGTATGTTTAGAAAAAGAGCTGCTGATTTTATTTGCTGCAAGCGACAAGTGTGTAGATTTGAAGTAAGAATAGCTAGTGGATGTATAGTCGATTTCCCTGATTTCCCTGAACGCCGTAAACCACTCTTCAATCTGATCGTGATGGTCGTTATCGAATAAGTGATTTTCAGATTTTTTAAAACATTCTTCGAGATATTTAGCATGTGTTTGTGATTAATCTATAAGATAAACTGGCTGGATGTTTTTTTTTGTATTTTGATAGTTTTTTGACTTCATTCCAGAAAGATTTTCCCTTACTTTGGTTGATATAATTACAAGCTTCAATAAATCAGGAAGATCTGAATTGCCATATTAACTTGTGAATACTTTTACTATGCTCATTAATTCTCTTCTTGGTGTCAGCATCTTCATTTCTTCTGAATTCTCGGTACATGCATCTTTTACGTTTAATTAATGTTAGGATATAAGGAGGGAGTTGGAAGGAGTAATAGGACTTTTTCCTTTTTGGGAAGTGATGTACTAGTGTATTTCGTTAGGTGTTTGATTAACGATGATATGTTCTCTGGGTTAATAGCAGGATTGTTATGGATGTAATTTGTCATGTCATTGTTTAGGTTTTCGATATTGCATAAATTAATATTAATGTGTAGTGGAATGTCTACTATTGGAGTATGGTGGGGTGTTTAGTTGAAAATCTATGCTGAGGTAGTCTGGACTAAGATCTGTTATTAATTCTAGAGCATGGATGAGAGCATATATGCTTGGTGAGCCTATTACTAAATCAGGTGTGGTCTTGGTATTGGCCTGCATGATAAATGAAGGTGGTGTAGCTATTTTCTTGTATCCAATCTGATTGAGGAAGTTAGTTAGATGTTTGTTTTTCAACTTATTTATATTAAAATCTCCGATTATTATGGCGTTATCGTATAGTGAAACTTTTATAAATATAGTATTGCTGGAGCAGATTTTTTTAGAAAAATTCGAATAACTTGAGAACGGCTGAATCAAATTGCAGAAAGTAAAGTTATTCATAAGCTTTGAAAAGAGACAAATTCAAACTTGTAAACATATACAGGCTGTTATTAAAAAAATAAAATAGGTGGCGACTTCCGGTATAACCGGAAGTGTTAGAAATCTGAAAATATTTTTGAAAATATTTAACATATCGCAATGCGGCGAAACCTGATTGCCGTAATCGGACATCAACGAGACAGGAAATTTTCGTAAAGTGTTACTATTACTACGGCAATTATAGAACGTGAGGGTACAGCGTGCGTTGAGACGCGGCACAAGAAATGATAACCTTTCCAACAACCAGCCGCAATCAATATCATAATGCAACAGTTTATTAATAAATGAATAAAAACAAAATGGTAAGGTTAAAACCTTTTTTATTAATGACTCTAACCAATTAAAAAGCAGTTTGAATTGCTTTATAATGCAAATTATATTGCAATATACACATCAGAACTGATACATATTGTCGCTTGAATTTCAATTTTAGCTCAGTCGTGTATTCGAAATTTCAACGAAATGTTCTGGATTCTTTTTGCAATTTTAATTTTTATTGTTACACTTTATTACTTTTATCAAGTAAATAAATACAAGATAATTGATGATTACCCGGGACCATCAGCTTTAGAATTATTCAAGTTTATGTTATTACCTAAATCAACAGTAGGCAAGTTTCAAATTTTATAATTTAATTTTTTTTTTGAATATATTTGTTTAAGATTCTTATAAATACTTCGTCTCTTTAAACAAAAAATATGGTGCGATTGTTAAAATTTGGCTAAAGCCTTTCAAGCCAACACTTCTTGTATCCGATGGAAAATTCATTAAGAGCATTTTATTATCAAGAGAATATTTTAACAAACCAAGTTATCTCGCTTTAATGGAAGCACTTATGGGATATGGATTGCCTATTATGACCGATAGTAATTAACTTGTATTAGATTTATTTAAAATTCTAAATAACATCGCCAAAATCTAGGAAATTAAAGAAATTCAAGAAAGTCCTTAAATTTATCGATTTTATTTAGAAAAAAAATCTTGTTATTTCGAAATAGAAACCAAAAAGTATCTTCTTTTAGTAAATTTGTGGAAACAAGAACGGAAAACTTTTTCACACATTTTTAACAATCAATTCATCATCGATTATACATCAACATTTAAAAGACACGCCGTTAATTTGTATGAATCTATAAATGAAAACTTAAACCAACCTATTGATTTACAAATATTGTTATTAAGATATGGATTGAATATTGTTTATGGTAAAATATAATTAATACAAAGCATCTTACGTCATTATAAATAATCTAATTTATTTTTATAGATTTATTACTTAATGAAGATATAAGTCAACAAGATAATCGTGTAAACCGATATATCAAATCTATGAAAACATTTTTCGAAGTTTACTTCGATAGAATTAATTCTCCTTTGAAGATAAATGATAAAATTTTTAAATTAACCAACAATTATAATATTTGGAAAAAATCTTCAGATGAAACTAAAGAGTTTATAGAAAGCACGCTAAAAAGAGTTATTAAATTAAAAAAGGAATCACCAAATAAAAGTGATCAAAAAGATTTTATTGATTTACTTTTAGAATCTAATTTGAGTTATGAAAGAATTTTAGAACAACTTCGAACGCTGGTCGTTGCTGTAATTGTTTGCTATTATTTTATTATGTTAGTTTATAATAAACATTTTTTTTTGAAGGGTGCTGATACAGTTTCGTCTGCAACTGGTTTCGCTCTTTACAAACTTGCTAAACACCCTGAATTACAAGAACAAATATATCAGGAGTACATTTCCATTTTAGGTATGGATAAAAACGTTTTTGCAGAATTTAGAGATATCCAACAAATGACGTTTACTGAATGTGTTGTGAAAGAAACTTTAAGGCTTTTTCCTCCTGGTCCATTTATTTTTAGAACTTTAATTAACCCAACAGAAATTGGTAAAATAATTTAATAATTTATAAACTAACTTTTTTTATTAATTAATTTTTAGATGGTAAAATTTTTCCTGCTAACATCGACATAATATTTTCAATAATTGATTCGCACTATTCAAATTTCGATAATCCTACAGAATTTAAACCGGAACGATTTTTTCCAGAAAATGCCTGCAATATTCCTGCTAACGCCTATTTACCATTTTCATTAGGGCCAAGAGATTGTATAGGTGAAGAATTCTAATACCAAATAATTATTTATAATTTTGCATTAACCTTTTTAGGTAAAACCGTTGCTATTGTTGAAGTGAAATTTTCACTCAGCTACATCATTAGACACTTTACATTACATCCAATCAGTAATCACGAAATAAATTTGTCAGGAGAAATTATTTTGACAAGCAAAAATGGTTTACCCGTTATATTTAGAAAAAGAATGGATTAAAGCAGGAATTTTAATCTGAAAAATCTTAAAAGAAGGTATATTGGAATCCATTTTGCAAGTTAATGAATAAATAATAAAATAACTTCTACTTGCTTTATTTAAGTATAGAGTCGTACATGTTTCGAGAATTACATTCTCATCTTCAGCGACAAGCTGTTAAAATAATGAAAATCACATTAAAATATTCTTTACGGTAACATTTAAAACTCAATTAACCAAATTACAAAATGAAATGCGAACTTTGAACTTTTGAATTGTTCCCCTTTCCACCTCAAGATCGTTCCAATATATTACGTGTGGACAATGCCCAGGCTTGCTATAAGATGTTAATGTTATTACAACTGTTGACTGGAAGGTTTAATTTAATGTTTTCACATTCAGCTAATTTGTTAAAGCAGAAGGTTGTGTGAGATAGCATGCTTTCATTGAATCTCAATCATATCCTTTTAATAACACAGAAGTGGATAAGATCAGGTACTTTAGCTAGGTCCAAGAAATAATTTGTTGATCCTACTGTGCAATATAGTTTTGTAAAGATTTCTTCCTCTGATGGTGATGAATCTTGATTCCCAGAAATGTCTGAATAATAACTGCCTGTACCTATAAAGCGACCTCCAAGGAATTTCAAATAATCACTGTACAGTACATATTGTTAATTTTCCATGATTATTGTTAATATTAAATATCGTTAAAGCTTGTATATTTTTCGTACTGACTTTATCAAGATGTCAATGCTTAAGTAATCGTGTCTTCCTGGTCGAAGTCACTCCAACCCAAGCATGATCCTTTCGAGAAACGTAGCGATCACGCACATTCGCAACCTGAACCGTTAGTGCGAGAATTGCCATTTTTGCGCTTGAATGTTTACTCAATCGTGAATAACTTCTCGCCAATGAAGAAGATATATTTGACCTCATCCCGTCAGAAGCGTTTCAAAACTTTGTGACATCTCTTAAGAGTGGCCTTCGTCTGTTTCGTCAAAGTGTGAGTCTTTTGCATCTTTAAGCCCCAAACAATGTTTGACAATTATATGCACAGATTCACGGATGATATTCAGCTCATATTCATCATATTCAGCTTGATCATGGTTTGAGTCACACCAGTCTTTGGTCTTCCACCTCTGGAACGATCCTTGATGTTACCGTTCTCCCGATAACGGCAGTTTGTACATTGGATGCTTCTACGGAAAAGTTCGGTGAATTTTCCGATCTCTTTCTGAGTCACTCAGGCTTTTACAGCCGTGGATAGTATTAAATTTTTCCTAAAACTACAATAATTGTTGTTTAAAATACCACATAACTTAGTTGATTAAAAAAGGATTGTTCAAAAAACACAACATGTTGTCATGGTGTCGAATTAATATGTCATATTTTAATTAAATTTTTCATTTGTTTCAATCCAAATTTTAAAGAAGTACAATATGCTAGATTAGAAAAAAGTTGTAAGCGCAAACAGTTTGGAAAAGAAGTACGGTAAAATATTACCGTACTGAGTCTAGAAATGAAACTTTCTTTTATCAAAACAGCCTTGCAACTGCAGTATTATAGGACAGTTTCCGGAATCTTTTCAGAAATTTGCTATATTCCATATAATTCAAGTCAATTTAACATAATATATAAATTTATAAACAAGAGATAATTGCGATTCTATTGGCCAAAAAGATTATTATTATTAGCACCCGCATAGAAAATTTTATCGCAATGAGGTATTAGTATTGCCAAAGTTTACAATGATTCAAAAAGAAATACCGTGTTACTACAAAACCTGCACAAAAATGCTTATCTCTTCTTATAGGAGAAAAAGAAGTCCATAGATGCTTAAAATGTGATCGACATACTGTACACAAGTTATTTGATTTACATTTGGATTTAGTACAGAAATTTAGATCACCAATTGCAATGATCGCCAATTTTTTAAAGAGTCAATTTTTTCTAATCTTGAATAAGATACACTACGGGTTGTTCGAGATACAGTAAGAGATATTAGACTTGTCATAATTTTTTTTTATGATGTTTGAAGCGATCAAGAAAATACGCTCCGGCATGCGTTCGGATAAATAATAAGTACAAGGATATTGTAATAATAACCGATTACCAGTAGTTTAGTCTTGTTTGATTATCGTATTGATCGTAGAAGAGTTTTTTGAACAATTATAAAATAATGTTAAATACTATACGCTAGTGAATTTCGGTACATTTTATTGTTCTTTAATGTTCTAACCCTAAACTATCACTTGTAAAGTCGATGCGAAGTAATTTTAAAGATTCGATATCAGATAACCTCAATTTAAATTTTTCAAAATTATTTATTTAAATCTTTATCTACCCGGATCAAACCTATTTAGAACGATAAACTTAACTTCGTTAACAAAGAAAATAATTAATATTTGAATGGACTAATGAAATTTGGATGAAAATTTACAAAATTAATTTGAACATATTGGAAAATTTATCGTTGAGATCAGAAGAAAATGAATGGATATTTGAAAATTGATTTAAAAGAGCATCAAAATTACGAAATATCACGCATAATTATAAATAATTTTAAAAATTTAAATAATAATTTGACAAATTGAATTAGAAACATTTCAAATGTCAAAGTTGGCTACATTGAAAAAACTAAGACACAAATTCCAAATCCATAAATTTAACCAATCAGGAGAGGTTATTTGGAAATTTAACACCCGAAAAACGGAATTTATCAACAAAAAGAGGTGCATAGATAACTTATATAGATGTGACATTTACGTAAAATTTTTGTACATAGCACCAGCGCTCCGAACGGCTCGGACCAATACTAATATTAAATAGCGGCTAACGTGATAAATCTTAAATATAAAATTTTCTAATTTTTTTGTGTGGAATTAAATAAAAAAAATAAAGACATTTGTGGATTTTAATAATCTTTTTATTAAAATTATTATCATAACCATAAAGTCTTATTTTAATATAAAAGAACAATAACTATAAACAATGTATAATGATCTAATGATACACTGTTAAAAATTTTACGAAGTGATTTAACTCTTTCGATATAAGATGAAATATTACCGCGAAAAAGTGGTAAATTTAACTAAATTCTAATAGGTTGCAACACATTTGAATGTCAAAATAACTTTGTTAAAAGATGTTAAAAATACGGTGTTAATCTGTTTATTCCTCACAGTGTAATTTTACACTTTATAACACCTTATACCCCTTTCCATTTTGTAGCATTAAATGTAATGCCAATATTTTGTCTCAAGTGTATAACGCCTCCCCTGCAACCTTCTTCCTTCGTTGTCATATTGGCTCAAAAAAAAGGATTGTTTTAGTCTGCCTAAACTTGAAATTGACTGCTTAAAAAGTTGTCTCTTTGGTAATAATTTTCTTTTATTTCTTTAGGATGTTATACTCTAGCGCTGGAATTTCCTCTTATACATCACTGCTTTCCTGTATAAATGTTGGGCTTTTGGTGATAAGTCGTCTTATTTGTGGACACCAACTTCCTCCAATAAACTCTCCCTTTGTTTAGCTGTCAAAAAATATCCAATAATGATCCCGATTAACGCTGTTTCCCCATTAAGCGGGGTTACCCAGTAATATGAAATCAAACTTTAAAAAAATTATACTACATTCTTTTGTAATAAAAGGGAAATTAAACGTTTTTTGAATGATGTTTCGTTTATTGATAAATAACTCTTATTAAGAGTTATATGCCATTATAGGTAATTTAACCAGAGCTTTTCAAAATAAACGATTTATAAAACACATAATTTCTTACCTGAAGTCTCCAATGAGATTGCACTGGTGGATGTTGAAGCAACCTAAAGTCCCATATCTGCATGTGGAGTAGTGGGCGTGTTATTCGAAGCACTTGAAGTACTGATATCCTACATGTGAAAAAAAATATGCCTCAGTCCTAACAACATTTTGATAATTTCATACACATACTGGCAAATTTAATGATGGTACTACTCCTTTCAACAATTTGTTGTTACGTCCCACATCCTCTCGTCGAAAAGGCTTATCACAAACTCGAAAATTATTATAAACCCTGAAGTGTTCACACTGAAGCAGGTTTTCTCGCACACAACATAAAACCCATCTTTGATATATTTCTGGATACATTTGTGGGTTTGGAAATCGGTAGAAACTTCCATACCTTTGTACGCATTTTGACATTTTCTGCTACAAGAAAATAAGATGCATATATATTTATTTTACAAATACCTAATCCAGTTCCATAATCAATGTTTAAATTTCAGAGGTTTTTTATGAGCATTAGTTTCCATATTATTTTAAGGGCAACTTATATTTAAAAATTTATTGTGAAACTGGAGATCATAATATAATAATATGAAATAAATAAAAAAAGTATATCAAATGTACTTACCACGAATAAAATTTCGTAAATTTCTTTAAAATTTACTATCAAACACAAAGCCGCATCGAAACACTAACCAACTTGACAAACAACTTAGAAAACAGTAGAAAAACAAATTGACGAAACGACTACTTAAATCCTAAAATTTTTATATAATATAACGCATCGATATCTACATAATATAACGCAATATAACGCCATCTATCCCGTCGGCCCGATACTAAAAATGACGTCACTTTGTACGAACACGACGTTAAGTGCCAGGGGTATGAAGAGGTGCTTCCTGTTGTCTAAAGAAACACACACATTTTTTTTTGCTCTGCTGAAAATTAATTAAATCAACGTGTTAACGAGTTTAAAAAAATATATCCGTTCCTGTTCAACTCTGAAAAAACAATTCATCCTGTTCCTATTAAAGAAGAAAATCCGTTCCTGTTCAATAATTTCGAAGAAACGATTAAATTCGCTCCTGATCAAGTAAAGCAATTGGTTCCGTTTCTGGTAGAAACCATCATCACTAGTGAAGAGAAAAATAGGTTCACAATCCTGAATCCAACTGTTCCTGTCACGAAGAAAATATTATTCTGAGCTTGACCTCCAAGGTTCCCATAGAAACAAATTGGCTAAGTTGTTTTTTTTTATAATTTATTGTTTTTGTTGATACATTTTTTAAAGAAAAAGACTCTTCTTACCTTCAATACGAGAAGTTCTTGATAAGTTCAATATAAATTTTGAGATTACGATTACAATTTCCTAATTAATTTAATATTTGACGAGTTGTTTAAGGCCATAACATATCCGAGTTGATAAATATTACTTCGAATCAACTAATTTAGAATATTTGTTTATATAATTAGTATATTTTGTTAATTTTGTCGACAACATCTCAATTTGATTGCACCTTAAGTTGTGCACATGTTTGTCTTGACAGTATTACCAGAACCTGCCTTTAACCCTGAGATAATTCGACAATTCTGTTTAAATATTTAAATTTTTTTTCAATTTAATAAAAAAACAAATTATTATAAAATTTAGTAATGTTGTTTTCATTAAAATAATTCTTTTCAAAAAAAGAGGGACTATTTGCGGTCCATTTGGAAAAACATTACAATATGTTTAAGTCATTGTAGTTTTATAGCAAGCGCGTGAATGATTATTACAATTTTTACTGATTCATACCCTGAAATTAATCATCCTTCTAATAAAACAATTTGTGTAACTATCAGGATGAGTAGTGGATTTTGAACAATATTCCCGTCACAGTAATGAGGAGATTTAGAATGTATGGAAAAAGACGGCGAGGATCTGGTAACTGTGGTGGGATTTCTGGGCGATTTCCTTGAGATTCCGGTCTGGAGCGTCGATGTGAATGTTTGTACATTGGGTTCCGCGTGGAGCAGGTGTTCGAACCGAAGTGGGTTTAACGAGGTTTGAACCTTTTGAAGCAGGATTACTTTTTACAGGGTGCTAATCTTGAAAGAATATTAACGACAATTTTTAACTGTTTTACGATCATTATGATTCAGGGTATATCGAATCGTTCCTTATCAACAAATATTAAGACAACATTAAGACTACTTTATAGCTGCTGCAAAATTTTATAGATCAACTCATGAGCGAGGAAGCGCCATTTATTTGAATTCTCTCCTGCTCACCTTTCAGTCATTGGAGTTTGTTACTGAGGATATAAATAGTAAGCTTAACTTTGAATTCGCAGGGATAATTTTTAAAAACATACAGTTATTAACCATTTATCGTTTACCTTCCGGGAATTTTGACGTTTTTCTTAATAAATTCAATATTCTACATTTTATACTAATTTTAACTAAGACTATTATCATAACAGGTGACTTTAACGTGCATTTCCATTCTGAATCTTATGATCTGAGATTAAAAAACCGGGTAACCGTCATGTTACCCGTGGCCGCGCTTGCTTAAATACAGTTTTTACTAATTTTGATCATGATGCTGATAGGGTTGCTGTTATTGATCTTTGTATTTCAGATCATGAGACAGTTTCTTTTGAGTGTAAAATTATACACTTACCGTCTAAACAAAAAGCTAGGCATAGTTATAGACCCATTACTGATCATGGATTGCTGTATTTCTATAGGTGTGTGGAAAAAATAAATTTTTCCTTTGTTAACGTGTGTTTTCCACTTAAGCCTAAAATATATATGATGTAAAAAAACGTAGGTATAAATTGAAACAGTTAACTGTGAAAAACTATATTAGTTAACAACTAACAGCTACAAAGGGCAACTTGGACAGTAACTAGAAATTGCAACCCAATTCAAAAACGTGAACAGACGACTAGCATTACCGCTGACGACTTTAACCATTTTTTGCGAATGTCGCCGACGAGATTGTTCCTCTATGTCGGTGCCCCAGACTGGTGTACGTGACGGGTCCGACGCAGGTTTGTAATGTAATGATTTAGGTGAAATGTATTTTTCCTTTGAGGAGGTCTCCTACAATGGATTGCGCAATGTGATCGCAGAACTATAAAATAGTTTTGATGTATTTTCTTTAAATACCAAGCTGATCAAAACAGTAAAAAATGTTATCGTTATTCCATTAGCTAAACTTATTAACGAATGTATTCGCACTTCCGTATTTCCAAACTGTCTAAAAATTGCTAATGTTGTACCTATCTGCAGACAACAAGTATTCTTTTTACTGATGACACCACGACTTTGAATGTATCAGCCTCCTCACAGGAATTGAGACAACAGATTGTGCTACCACATGAAAGCATTGTAAAATGGTTCTCCATCAATCAACTTAAATTAAATGAGTCTAAAGCACGTTTTACATTTCTCTCTTCTTCAACTTGACTCAAACTATTAATCTGAACCTATTAAATTCCTCGGTATCTATTTAGATTCGAAGCTAACATGGGATGAACACGTTTTTCAGATAACAAAAAAATTAAACAAGAGCATATTCGCAATAAGAAATATGGTCAATATAGTACCACTCGAGGTAAAAATAAATGCCTATTATGATTGTTTTTGTCCTCACTTATCTTATGCGATCCTGTGCTGCGGGCACTCTAAGCATGTAGTACCGGTGTTCCAAATTCAGAGGCAATGTGTCAGAGTGATGGCTGGTATAAGTTTTACTGAGTGTTGTCGGCGGGAGTTTGTTGATTACAAGTTTTTGACACTGTCTTGCCTGTATATACTCACCTGCGTGATGCACGTTAAGAAAAATCTGCCTTCTTACTTAAAAAATAATGACTGTTACAACTACAATACTGGAAATAAGAATATAAATATAAATATAATATAAATTTTATTACAAATTACAACCGAACGGCTAGGACGAGAGATGGACTGAATTATAATGGCATTAATTTTTTTAATACGTTACCTTTTAACATTCAAACATTACCAACTCTATCTTTTAGACGTACAGTTGTGGCATTCTTGACCGCCTTTTATAACTTTGACGAATTTTTTAGTGCTGATTTTAGTTCTATTGGCCAGACTCTTACGTAGACCATTATCGATCGTTCACCTACCAGTATTATCTTATATTTACTTGTGTATATTTTTTGTAAAGAAATATTGTATCCTTTTGTGACGTGTGAAAATTGTTAATGTATGAAAACCACGAATAAATTATTATTATTATTTCACCGAACAACATACATCATACATAATCAAAATGTCTTTATAATGACAAAGGTGTAACTGATTAAACGACAATGATGGTGATTGTATAATGATTGATGGCTAATTTCTATCTCGTCGGAAATATTGGCGATGCTTTATATCTATAAAACAATTCGCAGATCAATGTCGCTGTAACAAATAAAATAATATTGGGCAATATGGAGATAAGGACATGGATATAAAAAAGAAACAGAGATGACAACCTCCACATCAGGTCATTAAGTTGCGGCACAATTACGGCTCAATGCGGTAATATAGCTAATATAAACACTATAATATACGATCATAACACGACGAAACACCAGATTAATAATACAGTAGCTTAATACTATTTCGGTAGTTATTTGTCTGCTATGAAATATATTATTAATGAGTGGAGGGAGAAGTAGTGATTACTCGTGGAGACGATAAAATCTCGAGATTAACCTAACCTGATTGAAAGTTGCAGCGACATTTTATAAACACTGCATAGTAATATTTAACCCTCCAGTACTAACATGATTTTTGTAACACCACTACTAATATCAGTCTGTTCGACCGAACCTACCAAAAAGTGCTTTTTCCTCGTTAAGATAATTTTACGTACATAATATATTAAAATATAAGGATAATATGTTTGGTTGATAGGTAATACGTGGCCAGTGGATGTAAAGTGCTCCATAAAATAATTAGGTTTTATAATAACTATTTATTAAGACATTTTAAAAACGTAACATTTTATTAAATAAACTTTGTTGGAGAAAGATTAAACTTTTAAATATAAATAAAAAAAATCGATAACAAAGTACCTAACATTTTTCGTCCAAACGATTTAAATAATTGTTTTGTTCGCGGTGATTCTTCACTTTATATTCAGACTAATCCCGACTTACCAACATTTTATCAAAATAATGTAAACCCTAAAGTGCAGATAATGCAAGCTTTTATGCCCATTGATAAACATAAAGTATCTATAATAATTAATAACATTAAAACTGCAGCGATGGGTTCTTATGGTATCTCAGTCTTGATGATTGACTTGTGTACCCCTTTTCTCACTCTTTATATTACTCACGTAATAAACGCTGCTATTCATCAATCAGTTTTTCCGGATGCCTGG